GTTTATAATATGGCAGACATCGTTTTGCAGATTTGAGGCACAGACAAAAAATATTCTTAAAATTTAAATATAAAATGTATGATGCAATTTTATAAATAGAAATCAATATTTGTCGTTTACTTTTTACAAAACCTATCATAAATATATATTTTTTGATTTTATTTGAAATAGTGTAAAATACCCTATTATGGACTTTTACGAGCCGGCAAGATCTACTGCTGGCGGTTCTTGACCATAGCAACAACTGAATATTGTCAAAATAAGTTATTGCTGCCCACTCTCCGAAATGTATCCTCTGAATGTTGGCTACTCTGTGCATGTGCTTGAGATTAAAAAGATTGGTTTCAAACTAATCGAGGTCACCAGTAAGCCGTAGCGTAGCTCGTCTATCTAGATCGTACACTGCTAGGCGGCATTTTGCAGCACTAGCCCATATGAGACTGCAGTACTACAAGAACTACCTGATTTGAGAGTATATAGGATATGAAGCTGCCCCGGCTTTAGCCCTGGATTCAATTAACCGCCCATATTTTGATTATGAGAATATCAACTCCTAATAATTGAAGGTGGTTCGTGTACTCTAAAGATACATCCCAGAAAGTAGGAACCAGGGTGAGCAGACTTCTTTCTATAGCAATATTTTTTTTCTTCTATCACCTGTCATATTAAATAATTGCGTTTCTATACTCTACTATAATTACATTTTTTTATTGTTACAGGTGTCCCCACCAGACCAACACGGATACTGCAGCTTGGGTACCTCTGTTGACTGCGTACGTGCGGCACTTGTCAACTCCAAGATTATTATTGGTATGTACTCACTCACTCTCTTGTAAAAATATATATTCCTCTTAGGTGATATTATCACATATTAAAGGTCACTACATTTTTTGTATGGAAAAACTGTGACAAAAAGGACATAGTGCGCTTGCTGGTATGTAGACGCTTCTGATTCAGAAACTCTTATATCTATTTTCGGTTAAAAAGCAAAATGTATATGTGTTGTCACTGCTGAGAACTTAGATGATATAAACCTCGTTACCAGTAAAATAGGCTTTGCTTCTCTACACTCACCATGCAAAACAGAGCAGCATTAAGCTGCTACTTTACACTGATATTCTGTAAGAACGTGGTTCTTTCACGTCAGGCTAACCCATTTTTTATACAACCATAACATAGCTGCAGCGTGACTCTACCACGTTAAAATAAATAGTGTATCGGTGATGGTAAGTTGATGCTGTATGCCTGTAGACATGCAGATAAAGTGACAGACTAAAATGGAATGTACGTTACCAATAAAAGGGCTCTCGGTTCCCTACACTCACCGTAAGAAACAGCAGCACTATGTTGCTACTTCGCGCTGATATTCTGCAATAGCCGTGGTAGCTCAGATGGTTAACGCTCGCTGTAAATATAACGGTACGCGAGTAACCCGGGTTCGATCCCCGCCGACACCAATGATATTGTTAATTGCAATTTTAAGTGCTGATTTACCACGTGCATGGCGGTGTATGAAAACATCGTGAGGAAACCTGCATGTCTGAGGAATAATATAAAAAAATACTTCGAAGACATGTGAAGTTCGCCAACACGCATTGGGCCGACGCGGCGGACACTTCCTTGCCCTAAAGCCTGTGCCCAGCAGTGGGACGTATATAGGCTATAACTTTACTTTTACTTTATTCTGCAAGAGCGTGGTTCTTCCCCAGTCCAGCCGACTCAAATGAGAACGGTACAAATGTGCTACATCCATAATTTAGCTACAGAGTAACTCCTCCACGATTTACAAATTCAGTACTGCATATGCAGTATTGACCAATTTCTAGACTGAGTTCTTTTCTCGTCGGGATATCTCCTTTTCCCCACTGGCATAACAGCCCAAACCCCATCGCGTCCTGTTTATGTCGTAAGAGTCATAGACGGCCGCACAACCATTTCGTATATGCTAGATGCAACATACCAACAACCTCTGAAAATTGGTGGCTACATATTTCTCAAAACATCAGACAAATGTAACGAGTTAAATGAAACACGATAAAATCTGTATACCAATTACCTTTATTCAAAACAAACTATCTTGTAAATTATAAATGGCGATATTTATGTGCATCTTCTTTGGCCGATAAGGTTAAAATTGCGTCAATTAAACTGTAATGCAAGGAACTTATCTAAGTAGGTCGTAATCGGTTAAACGGTACTTACTGAACGCAAGGTCAGTTGCTCTATTAATGAGAGATCACGGAGGTATTCCGTTGCAGCTGTGTTGCTAGCGATTATATTTCTATTATTTTGCTACCCTATTTATTAACCCTTACGCTGTCATGTGCACTACATAGAGGTCATTCCCATTGCCTTACTGTTGTGTCTGAAAACCAGACAGTGAAAGTGTTAAGGTGTCAACATTAAATATTGAATAAATAAATAAATATGCAACATGTGAAAAAGAATGAAAAGGCCGGCCGGAAACCAGGCAAATTGCAGATGCGTTATCTGCAATTTGCCTGGTGTTGCAGTTATTCACACACACATACGCACACACACACACACACACACACACACACACACACACACACACACAGCGCGCGCGCACGCACGCACGCACGCACGCACGCACGCACGTTGAGTGCGTGCTTGGGCGGCGGTAATCACTTACCTTCAGGTGAGCCATATGCTCGTTTGCTCCCTCTTCTATAAAAAAGTATATCAGTACATCACATTTGGCTGGCAGCAACTGGATGCGTGAAGCCGAAGATCGGGCTAAGTGACACGCCTTGGAAAAGGCCTATGTCCATCAGTGAACTGTCGCAGGCTGATGATGGTATCGCATTTGCTATTTTTATGTAAATGACTAACAGGTTATTGCCAAAGAATTACCTATATTTAATTATTACGATGTAGTGGCGTAGTAAAAGAATCTACTACCCTATATATATCTTGTGGGTGTTAAAGGAGGTTACAAAGGGAAACTGAAACAAGAGATGAGTAGGCAGCTTATTCGTAAATTGAAATCATTGGCATCCTTGTAACTTAAAATTAAAACTTAAAATATACTCGTGATACAAACTACGTGGGAACTGAATTGACGCAAAACTAAAGGATTAATATTGTTAGTGAAGAAAACTTCAAAAATCTAATTAGTACTAACATTGCAAATAAACACGAAATTAACACTAATAAATCGTGAACTCTCAAAATGTTGCAAACACAGTTTATTGATCCGACACAATGATCAGGAAAATCGATCCATCAAGATCGCATGTATTATTCGGAAACAAAGTTGTAAGTGCCTTCGAACAATATTCGCCAGAGATCGCCACGAAATGTTTTTTTTTTTATAGGATAGGGTCACAAACGAGCACACAGTCCACCTGATGGTAAGTGGTTGCTGTGGCCCATATACATCTACATCTATCCTCGATTACGAATCAAAATGCAGATGCGTTGTCACCCGTGAGGACTAAGATGGAATGCCTCGTTTCCAGTAAAAAGGGTCTCCGGTTCTCTACACTCACCATACGAAACACAGCAGCAATCAGCTACTATGTCACGCTGGTATTCTGTGAGAGCGTGGTCCTTCCCCGGTCGAGCCGACCCATTCGTGCTACAACTATACATCTAATATAACTGCATCATGGCTCTACCACGTTATGTTTGCTCGTTTCCAGCGCAAGTGAATGTGAACATGCCGCGTACGTTCGGCGACGCGATCATACACATGTCTCACATCGACTACGCGGTGGAGGACAACACTCCCCTGCCTGAGCACGGAAGCAAGGGACCCGCCAGCGCCGAAGAAACCAAGATTGGCCAGCTCATTGGGGACAACCTGGTGGAAGATGGCGCTACGCTACAGATGGGTTAGTGTTACGATCTTTTGGAGAAAAATATTTTTTGATCTTTGTTTTTTTTTTTTTAATTTTTTTAGAAATAATATTAACAATGCTATAAACATTACTAATGTTCCCCTTAACCACTCGTGGTAAGCTTAAATTGCTTGTGTTACGAGTGGTTCACGCCAGTAGTTGAATGGCGGATTCGAACCCACGACCTTTTAGAGTTCGCGGTCCGCGGCCTGCCATTAGGCTACTGTCGCTGTTTATCCGTACAGTAGACGTAAACTCCAAATTTTTATGGTTTTTAATTTAAATTCTCTTTAACAATTGACATATTAAACCAGAGATTATCAAACCAAAACAAATTTTTTAAACACTCCTAAAACTTAAAAACCACAATTTCATTACTTTAATTAATTTAGTTATGGTGTGCTATATTAGTCGGTTCTGGTATTTAAAACTTACATTCTAAACTAGACATTATTACCAGTGAAAGAAATTAAAACGCAACTTTATGATATTACAGAATATATTTTAATTAAAGTAAAAGAAACTATAAAGATTGGTAATCAATTTTAGTTTTAAAACTAATCTAATGAGATAGATGAATTTGATGATTTTTAACAAGTTTGTTGATATCAGGTTCGATTTTACTCAAAAACAGTCGTAAGTCGCCGCGTTTGATATCATGCAAATTATATAGAAAATATAAAATTATATAGTAGTGGAACTGACAGAAACGTATAAATAACTAAAATAGCGCCCTACCGAAAAATAACTGCGCTCACGCGACTCTCCCTTCCTCATCTTCAAGGTAATTTAAAAAATATAAATTCAGTATGTGTTTTAAAGCCTTTGTTTACTATGTTAAAAAAAAACTGAAAATGTATAAAACAACATATTTCTTATAACTATTGATAAATGAGTGTGTGCAGAAAGATTTTAACTAGCATAATTTTCTAAGATGAAGCGGTAAACTGACTTTATCCGCAAAGTGCCGCTTCCTTATATCTGTGCAGACCATGTGTATTTTCCTAATATTTTTAATTGCCTGTTTTTAGGTATCGGCAGCATCCCGGATGCGGTGTTATTTGCTCTGAAGAACCACAAAGATCTCGGGATCCACTCCGAGATGTTCAGCGTGGGTGTGATTGATCTGGTCAAGCGAGGCTGTGTGACCAACAACAAGTAAGCTTCTTCTTTGATTCATTATCGTATAATTTACGCTTTTTAGAGCCGTGCTACAGCTATATTGTGGTTGCAACACAAATGGGTCGGCTCTACCGGGGGCGATAGTTGTTGATGTTTGACGTCCCAATACAACTGATTAAAACTAATTTCAAAGATTTTATCGCATTTAATTTTAATTATTTCCCGACGTTTCTGATGTAATGGTTGGGGCCGTCTAGGATATGATTACAAACTGCAGACATCCTGTATATCATATTCTAGACGGCCCCAACCATTACATCAGATTTGATAGACCACAAACCTCGCGAAAGAACACCGATTCCTACGAAGGACGATACGTGAGACTATTGAAATTAAAAACATCCTAATTTCAATAAAGAAGGAAGCTGGATACTACCGCATGCTTGGAACCCTATAATCAATAAAATTAAAACTAAACCCAAGCATACCACTGCGAGACTTCAAGACACAGTTAGTTCATTTTGCATAGATTGGACCATAAACAATAATTAAAAAGCTGAAGGTACTCCGGGTTTAACAATGACATCGGGACGTCAGTCTTCTCCATAGAATGCTACAATACATACATAATAGAACAGGGGAGTGGGAGAAGCCCGTGTAGCCACTAACATGTCACTAACACGTCAATTCACACGTATAAATGTCAACACAATCAATCGTTTCCAATTTTCGTGTCAAGCGTCGCTGCATGCAAATTATTTAAAAAATGGCAAATTGTGCTATAATTACGTGTCGAAAGAACAGCGGAAAATGGAATTTAAATAAAGAAGACATATTCTACAACCAGTAAGTCGAAACTATTTATATTTTGTGAATATTAAAAACAAAAATAAAGAAACATTTATGTGTCAAAAACATTAATCAAAAGTCCAAAATGTGTTTGTAGTAGTGATAACACGACATAATTGCTTGTATGTGTGCTCCCGGCGACGCCAATCCTCCTACAAAGTAAGGTTGACAGCCATTCTATTGTGTATTATAGTATTCTATGGTCATCTCGGTCCCCCGTGACCATGGGTGCTGGAAAGCACCCGAAACGTCGGGATTTAAAAATAGTTAAAATTAAACGCGATAAAGTCCGTAAAAGTAGTTTTAATCAATGTGTAGTGTTCGCCTAAATATAAGCAATCATTATGTTCCAATGTTCCCAAATTAGAACTACCTTCAGTTTTTAATAATAAACTTCGGTCCGATATACGCAGAACCAACTTACAGTACCTTGAAGTCTTGCAGTGCAATGCTTGGGTTTGGGTTTAATTTTGTTAATTATAGGATCCTAAGGAGATGGAGCAGCACCCATTCATCTTGTCTATTGAAATTAGGATGTTTTTTTTTAATTTAAATAGCTCTCGCGTATCAATCGTTGGTAGGAATCTGTGTTCTTTTACGAGGATTTGTGGTTTATCAAACCTGATGTAATGGTGGGGACGATCTTGAACATGTTCACAGACTGCAGACATCCTAGAGCGTCGGTGCTTCACATCACCGATATGTTTTTTCACGCGGGTTTTTATGGATCTTTTTGTTTGACCTATGTAAGAGAGACCGCATTCACTATCTAACTTGTACACTCCTGCATCTTGTAGAGGAATATTACACTTGACGGATGGTAAAAATTGACTAATCTTCTTCGGCGGCTGGAATGGACGCTCGCTTCAAGATGTAGCCAACCTTGTCTGTGACTCCTCTAACATACGGTAGTACAGCAGGCACACGCTCGACTGTGGCCGGCTTCACTCGGTCCCTCTGATCCGAAGCTTGTTGTCTTGCAAAACTTGCTTGACGTGCTGAAGCTCGGCGGTCAGATGTTTTCGGTCACAGATCCCACGTGCTCTCTGAAACAAAAATTTACCCACGGTAGCTAACTGTGAAGAATGATGGTGAAATTCACCATCATTGAACGTTTCAGTCCCCCCCCCCGTGACCATGGGTGCTGTAAAGCACCCGAAACTTCGGGAATTAAAAATAGTTTGAAATAAGTAAATTAATTTAATAAAACGCGATAGAATCCGTAAATATAGTTTATTAAGTGTGTAGTGTTCGCGTAAATTTAAGAAAACATCATTAGCTTCCATTAAACCTATTACTGTACTTATATTGACGATTATGTTAAAATAAATTATAGTCAACCAAATCTAAGAAATACCTTTTGACGTTTCACATTATTCATTCCGCAATAACTTTGCACAAGCGTACTCACACGATTTAAAATAACCTTTTACTTAAATCTAGTTATCTATATTTCATTACAATGTGTATAGTTTTTTGTCACTAATTGAAATTCGAATCTTTCAAACAAAGTAAAATATTTAAAAAAATACCCAGTATCAATTTTTTTACTTGACGTCGATGCAATGATATGTCGCTATGTACCTTAGCGTAGTGTTTGGATGATTAAAATTAATTTTTAAGCGTCGGCGATATTAAAAATTCTGCGTTTGTGTGTGCGTGCGTGCGTGCCACCGTGCGTGTGCGTGCGTGCGTGTGTGCGTGCGTGCGTGTGTGTGTGTGTGTGTGTGTGTGTGTGTGTGTGTGTGTGTGTGCTATGATTCAAGATGTGTGTGTCAGCGTGCGCGTGTGATGAGTGCGTGTGATGTTTGTTCTTGTGCGTGTTTCGGTTTTTTTTTTAATTTTAGTTATTTATTTCCATTCTTTATCACCACTATAACCTGTAAATGCCCACTGTTAAATATAGGCCCCACGCGTGGTGCATAGGTTGCATGGCTTGCCAGGCGAGTTGGCAAACGCAGTTTTATAATTTCGACTTTTTATCGGGATATTTAGGCCAACGTAGTTTCTATCATGATTATATTCTTAATTTAAAAGGATGCCAATGTTTTAAATATTCCCGTGGGATAAGTTTAGTTTAGTTTACGACGGGCTGTTTTCCGCAACTCTAAAAAATCGAACCCGAGACTCCTGGGTGAGAGTCGGATATCCTAGCCACTAGACCATATCGCATCACTCCCGTGGGATAAGCCGCGCAACATAGGATAAGGTGGCCATTTTTCTCGATGCTGTTGATGTCAATATCTCGTTATAATAAAAACCTATATTTTTTTCGCAGAAAGAAGACTCACAAAGGTCGAATTGTGGGCAGTTTTCTCGTCGGCAACCGCGAATTATACAACTTCGTGGATAACAACCCATTCATAGGTGATTATGGATTTAATTATGTAGCGCGTAAAGTTTATTTTAAAATGTATAATTGACGATTTACTACAAGAACCACGGTGAAGGAAAATGTGCCTCGTATGGAAACTTGTATGTTTGAGAAATTGAAAATTTCGAGGACAGTAAGATTCCCAAAAATGAGATGAAACCAGTGCTCAGCAATGGGACGTATAGTTGAACACAAGTATAGGTGAACACAATCGAAGGCTTTGATACGTCACTGATTATACCTAACTGTGAATTTAAATTGTTTTCAAATATTTTACAATATATTAAAATATACGTTATGGAATGAAAAAAAAAATTAATTACATTTTGTTTGAGCAATTATTCGTCGACGATAGGACAAGAGTTCAGTGACTTTGTAGTTAAGATTGTTATTTTAGGAATAACTTAAATAGTCGTATGGGTGACCATCGGCATATTTGCACGCGGACTATGTAAGGATCAATTATTTTTTAATTTACAGAAATGCTCGAAATCGACTATGTAAACAACACCCACATAGTATCCTTACAGCCGACTATGACCGCAATCAACTCCTGCATTGAGGTTGACCTCACAGGTCAGGTGTGCGCGGACTCCATTGGTAAGTTGTTTTTAAAAAAAAATTGATAAACGTGTTCGAGAGAGACTAAAAATCTTATGCTAATATGATATAGACAATAGAAAGCGACTCAGTTTTTGCTGACCCAGAACAAGTCGAAATAAGATTCCTTGTCACCCAGAGGGGTAGGCAAACACTTCGGACTTCCATTTGGCTTATTTAGTAGATTGCCTCGTAGGGGAGGTTTATTTTTCTATATTCGTCTTAGTTACCACGTTGCAGTGATCGGCAACCGTTTTCTTTTTTTTAATTGTGTGGGGGTATAAATGTATTTTTCTCATCATGGCCTACATAAATATATGAAAGAAAATGATAGATGTGAAGAGAAAAAGATTATTGTTAATTATATAAATAAAAAATACATACATAAATAAATAAAAACCCAACCAGATGGAAGCCCCCAGAATGGGAGACCCATAGAATACTATAATACATACATAATAGAACGGGGGAGTGGGCGGAGCCCGCGTAGCCAATAAAATGTCACTAAGACGTCAATTCACACGTATAAAGGTTAATACGAGATGTGTTTTGACGTTACAATCGTTTCCAAATTTCGCATGAAAATTATTTAAAAAATGCCAAATTGCACCCTATTTACAAATAAATATAATACATATTACATATAAAAATTTAAACGATTTATTTTAATGATGATCTTGAACATTAATCAAAAGTCTAAAATGTGTAAATTTATTCAGTCTGTCAACACAACGAATCGGGTTTGGCGACGCCAAACCTCGTACAAAATAAAGTTGACAGCCATTCTATTGTGTATTATAGTATTCTATGAGGAGACCGCACGGCCGAGGGTTAAGGTATTTTTTGAGTTGTCAACATATATCGTTAGGTAGACTGTGGGACTTATTTGTCACTGGGTTACAGACATTGAATTAAACACAGTAAACTCAAAAAATATGTATAATACGTAGATTATTTACTCGACTGTTTATTCAATTATACTACTCCTTATTTTACATTGCTACTTCTTAGTTTGGGTTATGTTGCATCTATTCATATAAAAATCTTTTCAGGCACAAGAATGTTTTCCGGTTTCGGTGGCCAGGTGGACTTTATCCGGGGTGCAGCAGAGTCTGTGGACGGCAAAGGGAAACCAATCATCGCTCTAGTTTCTACCACCAAGAGGGGGGAGAGTAAAATCGTCCCCACACTAAAAGTCGGTAAGTGATACAGAAGTATTATCTGAATGGTGAAATTTTTACCGTAAATAAGAGATATAAACCTAAAAGATATATTTTGTTATATACAGCTGCCGTCCCTTAAGGCATTGTTATATCTTAAATGTCTGATCAATGGGACTTACGCAACTTCAATACTGCTCGTATTGAAAAAGTGATAGAGCGCAACCAGGGCTCCAAAGTCTTTGCCAGAGATCTGTCTGTCATAAAGAGTCAACTGTCGAAGCTGAAGACCGAATGTGGCAGCATCCTGAGATTCTGAGTGGGATCGAGAGGTTCTATAGGCAGCTGTACACGCACACGCAAGTGTGAGTAACGATCCAAGAGCAAGTCTTATCCGAAAATATTATGATGATATCCCGGATGTCGTCAGTCTGAGCGAGATTAGAATGGCTCTCCAGCACCTTAAAAACGGCAAGTTTCCGGGCGAAGATGGAATTACAGCAGAGCTTCTGAAAGCAGCTTAAAAACCGGTACTTGAAGTCCTTCTGAAGCTCTTTAATTTGGTCCTTCATGGTGGCAATACTCCGGATCTTGTTCTTCAAGAAAGGCTATAAGGTTCTCTTGAAGAACAACAGACCGATTTTCCTTCTGTGACATAATATTCACAAAACTCTTCACCGCACGCTTTTCAAGCTACTGGCCTGAAAAGGATACGGTATTAACGTCAAGGGCGAATACAACACTCACCTTGGATTTGCCGACGATATAGTCCTTATAGCAGAATCGCTGGAGGACCTAAGCACTATGCTCAATATGACCTCATTAGTGTCTCCCAACAGATAGGTCTTAAGATGTACATGGATAAAACAAAAGTTATGTTTAATGTCCATGTCACACCTATGTCGGTAGTTGTTGGGAGCGCTAAGCTCGAAGTTGTTGACGAGTATGTTTACCTAGGAAAAACACGAATATATATCTGTAGTATGAATATAGTCTGACTAGGTAAGTCCAACTTGGACCGCGAGGTTAAGCGACGGATTCAATTTGGCGATACATCTTCTCTTCAGGCTTACCTTAAAATTAGATTGTACAACCAGTGCATGTTGCCAGTGATGACCTATGGATCTGAAACTTGGTCCTTCACTACTGGCCGTATGAGGAAACTCAAAGTCGCTCAGCGAGCTATGGGGAGTGATATGCTCGGGGTTTCCCTGCGTGATAAACTTAGAAATGAGGATATTCGCAGTAGAACCAGAGTAACCGACATAGCCCAACGGATTGGTAAGCTGAAGTGGCAATGTGCCGGCCATATAGTTCGATGAACCGACAATCGATGTGGAAGAAAGGTTCTAAAGTGGCAGCCTTGTACCGCCAGGCGAATTGTAGGGCGTCCCCCCACTAGATGGAGTGAAGAACTGGTAAGATATGCAGGATGTCGATGGGTGCACAGGTGGCTCTGGACCGTGCTTTATGGCGTTCCTTGAGGAAGGCCTAAGTTCAGCAGTGGTCTGATAGGGCTGGTGATGACAGACCAAAAAAATACTTCTTTATATTAGGTATTATGAATTTCGGGGAAAATGATACCTTACGCCATGTACGGACTAAGCATTCCAATGTATGCGTAGGCTAAGCATGTTGAATATGCATACCGGTGGATACGCGTACAGGACACCTTTATACATTGCGGAATAATGAACGAGCGGTGACAAGTCGCAAGTCGGCCAGCCACCAGCCAGTATCCGCCATGTCTCGAATAGCTGTGTGCATCACACAAAGCCGACTGGCGACGACTCGCCGCGATTCGACGCGCGTCTTCGATCAACAATACCAACTAGATAACGGGTCACGTACAAAATCATAGCTAAATACTATCCGCGTGAATATAACATTTGTTTCTAAAGAAATGAGACATTAAATTAAAGTTTTAAGTTCAACCTAATTACAACCATCTCATCTAGTAATAAAGTCACAAATCTTACGATCATTAGTCACAAGAAAAGAACAAAGCTATACAATACTCCTATCACTTGAAAATGAAAAGAAATAAATTAAATAACATTTAGTGTGAAAGGAGACGGGCGAATTTGGGCCTAACCGTTACACAAGTGAAATATTTATCAATATTTTTTTACAGTTTTTTTTTGCGGTTAATAATGAAATATTAAGCAGTTTTATCATGGCAAAAGAAAATAAATATTAAATAAAAATAATACTGACTTCCGTTATTTTCATTCTTAAACAATGCTACCGGATGAAATAGGTTAGTTAATCGATTTTGATACAAAAATAGGAAAAAAAAAGAATAAAAAGTAATTCAGTGTTTTCTTCTTTAGGTAAGTCTAAGAAAATTATTATTTAAATAATGGTTTCCTCGTGACACTTCAAGGTTTAAAAAAAGTCGTAAAAATAAATTGACTGAATAGATTAATAAATCGATTTTACAATCGATTATCAATGTTTTATACAGGCCAAAAGCAGAAATGTCAACGTTAGTGCAAAAACTCAAGCGTCAATTAAATCGTTTGTTACGTTTGTTTGGCTCTGAGCTCACGGTGGTAGTGAATATTTTCTGTTGTTTTTGTGTGCTGTAATAATATTCTGATCTTTAACGACTCTGGCTACGTATAAAGGATTTTGACGGTTTCTTTTCTGATTTTATAAGAATACATGTGCAAAATGGTTACTTAAATGATTTTTCCCAGCTCACACATAGTGATTTAATAAAAAATATCTTTAGGTATTTATCAAATTAAGTAGGCTAGGTTCCATTATGGGGAACACATGCAAGATGGGAGATATGAAATAGAAGTGTGTCGAGAAACGATCAGCAACCTACTAAGAGAACTGTCAATATTCAACCATTCTAGCTGGCTATTAAGTAGTCGAAAAAAATCGAGACATACTTAAGCTCAAAAACATATTTTACATATATTTTAGTTGACAGTTAGTAGAGAGGCCATCAAACAGTATTATTTTGCTTGGTAGGAAAAAAAAGGAAAGAACTGCAGGTTGCTGTGTCATATAATGTCCATAATATGGTACCTAAGCTGGGCAAGGCGTCAAGAGAATTTAATACCGCATGCACCATTTTTAGAGGATATTTCATTTGTTTATGATGAAGTGGACGACTTATAAATCATTAAAAGGGAAAGTGTTTTTAATTCATACTCCCTCAGTTTCTTTTAAAGTTATTTCAAACCTCTAGAATTTAGTTGGACGGCGGCGTCTGAATCCTCTATGTGTGAATGTCCTACAATACATAAAATTATGTTAAAGTCTAGTTTACAATAAAGTCTAATAAATATTTTCTTAAAGTGTAATGTGAGAGCTTGGTGTAAGAATTACATTGTAAGCGTAACGTAAGCAATAACATTGTTTTTATACAAATCAACAACATCCTATTTTTTTTTTCTACCATGAAGCAGTCGTAAACATTTTAGTTTTTTTTTTTAAATAGTATTGGTATATAAATAAAATAATGCCGTAATCGTTACTGTAACATCAGGCCCAGCTTTTTATGAACTTTCGCCCGTCTCCTTTACCTTAAGGTATAACAAATAAAGTTCTTTTTGTCGTTATTGCCTTGCGAGCTACGTCATTTTGTTATGTTTATATTTTCTACTTCGAATTTGGTCCAGGAAGTATTGAGTGGCGTTGAACACTAAAATAATTTACAATATGATCATAAGTTTAATTAAAATTATTTTTATGTTTTGGGCATTTATGATTTAATGGCTAGTATGGAAAGTATGTATTTGGTATACATACTTTCCATACTAGCCATTAAATATAATATAGTATGTAGTATATTGATTGCATTTCTTATTATGTATTTCATATTTTAGTTTTTGTATGTATATATGTTTGCATTATGTATGTATCTATGTGTAGTATATATATAAATATGTGTATTCTTTATTATCACACCAATTTGCCCTATTCCTGTCATCTTCGTGTAATCCTGTCCATTCATTGATTATCTGGAAGAAATTGCTGTCAGCAATAAGACCGCCCATTGCATACTTTTAAATCGTGGTAAGAGCCATGCTGCAATTATATTAGTAATGTTACGAGCTTGAGGTTCGTGACAATAAAAATTGCCGATAAAATTACCTAAATTAACACTTTAATTCTCTTTACACAAATTAAAACTTAAAACACTAATAATTAATCACACTAATTCACTTTATTTCGCTCCGAAGCTTCGCTTGTCTCGCCGAATTCAATACTTCCTCGATCGCATCTTGCAGCGCCTATTTATATAAATTAGCACGGAAATATCCAGAATATTCAAGTAAACACGCGCAAGGTACCGAGAGTTCGAGTTTCAACTAGGCGCTAGTGCCGTCGACTAAGGCGCGTAACACTGCCCCCTCCTAAGACATGCTCGTCCCGAGCATTATCGGCCCCATAATAACGCGCTAGGCGATCCACATGGACGATCTTAGGAGTCCCTCTTGCGCCTTTCTGTATCCGGTAGGTTACATCGTTGATCCTGGTCACAATCCGGTACGGGCCATCCCATTTAGCTTGTAGCTTAGGAGATTTCCCTTTGCTGCGGACGGGATTATGCAACCACAATAGTGAACCTTCGTCGAACCCTTTGTTGTTCATTTTGCGGTCGTACCGGGTTTTCATCTTTTCAGACATTTGCTGGCCCGATTGTCTGACGTGCTCATAAATGTCATTCATTTTGTTCCGCAAGTCATTTGCATAATCGGTTATACTACGTGGAGCATCAGGTGGTATCCCGGTGATCAGGTCTGCAGGCAGCCGTAATTCTCTTCCAAAGTTTGCGAAAGCTGGTGTCACTGCTGTACTTTCGTGAACAGCGCTTCGATATGACAACAAAAACGGTTGTATGTGCTTGTCCCAATCTCGTTGCCGATTGTCTACAACTTTTGCTAGGTACCTCTCCAATGTCTGATTAAATCGTTCTACCATTCCAGCAGATTGCGGGTGATAAGAAGTCGTTCTTGTTTTATGAGTACCCATAACTCAGCAAGTTTCTTGGAATATTTGAGATTTTTTTTTTTATTTGAGATTTCAAAATTCCTTCCTTGATCGCTGTGAATCTCTAAAGGTACTCCAAAACGACAGAAGACTTCATGAACTAGTTTATCTGCAACTGTTGAAGCTTCTTGATTTGGAATGGCGAAGACTTCTGGCCACTTAGTGAAGTAATCCATCACAACCATGAAATACTTGTTACCGCTTTCACTCTCCGGAAACGGCCCCGCCACGTCAATGGCTATTCTCTCCCATGGTGCACCAACATTGTACAACTTCAATGCACCTCTACTACGAGTCTGAGCTCCCTTTACAGCCGCACAACTTGTACATTTGCGACACCAGTCCTCGACATCGTTTCGACAGTGGACCCAGTAAAACCGTTCTCGGATCTTCAGTAGAGTTCGTTAAACTCCCAGATGGCCACCGGAACAATCATTATGGTACAGCTGTAGAACATCCGGTACTTTAGCTTTATGGACAACCATTTGCAAGTGACAGCTGTCTCCCAGAACATTTTCCCATTTACGGCACAGAACTCCATCCTGAAGCAGCAAGCTGTCCCATTGGGCCCAATAGCTTTTAGTGGTCGAACTCATCGCTGAGACGTCGCTCCACTTGGGCTTGGGAGCACTGGCCTTCATCCATTCCAGAGTCGGCTTGATGTCCGGATCTTTCTGCTGTGCATGTTGTAAGCTGTCCTTCCACTCGTTGCTGAGGTGGTCTGCCCTGAGCATCCTCACGGATACCACTTCCTTACTCTCCTGCCTAGTACAATGTTTGCAATCTTCAGGACAAGGTCTTCGTGATAATGCATCTGCGTTGCCATGAGATTTCCCGCTGCGATGTTCGATCTCAAAGTTGTATCCCGGCTGCTGCTGGGCGGTGATGTTAGCCGCACTTCTCTTCTGAGATCGTTCACCCTCCCCTTCTAGGGTTCGCCTAGGGCAGCTGGATCGAAGATGGCCCCTTTCCCCACAGCCATAGCACCTAGGGCTGTATCCTTATTGTGGTCGCGAACTGCTGCAACCTCCCTAGCGTGAGGGGAATGATGTTGCTGCCACCGCCGGGCGGTGCCGTTAGCTGCACTACCCTCTCGAGATCGATCAACTTCCCTTTCTACAGTTCGCTTAGGACAGCTGGTTCGTAGATGGCCCTTTTCCCCACAGCCGTAGCACCTAGGGCTGAATCCTTTGTTGCGGTCGCGAACTGTAGCTACTGCGATCTCCCTGACGCGATGGGAACGATGATCCTGCCGCACGGCTTCTACCTCCAGTGCATGGGCCAAGGCGTCCTTAAGCGTTTCGTGGTGCCCGAGCCTCACAGCAGCTCTGACCTCAAGGTCGCGGATGCCGTCGATGAATGTCTGCACCAGGTTCCCTTCGATGAGCGCAGGTACAGACCGGTATGCTTTTCGCACCAGCTTCTCCACCTCTAGAGCCCACTGCTGCAGGTTTTCATTGATCCGCTGCACGCGATCCTTAAGCTGCGCACGAAAGACGTGTTCCAGGTGAGCATCGCCATATCTCGCCTCCAATGCCTCAAGGAGCTGCTCGTAGGTCACTTTCTTACCGAGAGCTTCCAACACAGTTAAGGCTTGGTCGCGCAGGCCTAGGGTGAGTGCAGTCATGGCTTGGCTTTTATTCCAGCCGTTCGCCTCCATGACGGCCTCGAACTGGATTTTGTAGGCCGACCAGGAAGAAGTTCCGTCGAACGGCGGCACTTTGAATCCACGTAGCGAAGGTGTTGTAGCTACTACGGAAGCTGTTGTTCCATCCAGTTTGAGGTCGTCCAGCGTTTTCTTCACGTCAGCCATTACGTTGTCAACCCGATTGTTTACTTGGTCGATTCGGGTTTCGGCCTCCGACAGGCGGTTGTCATGTTGAGCAACCTTATCCTTTACCTCCCGTATCTCTTTTCCGAAGATAGCGTGAAGATCCTTCATGAGGAGCATCTGCTCTTCCTTATCGCGTTGGAGTTGCTCTTCTAAACGACGGGCCTGTTCCTCCTGCCGGCGGGCTTTCCTCCTGCCGGCGGGCGTGTTCCTCCTGCCGGCGGGCTTGTTCCTCCTGTCCGCCCCGCAGCTGCTCTTCCAATCGGCGGGCCTGTTCCTCCTGTCCGCCACGCAGCTGCTCTTCCAATCGGCGGGCCTGTTCCTCCTGTCCGCCCCGCAGCTGCTCTTCCAAACGACGAACCTGGTCTTCCTGTCGGCGAGCCTGCTCCTGCAGCATCACCATCAGAGCACCTAAGTCAGGTGCTGCAGATGTAGGAGCTACTGACGGGCCTGCAGCCGGCGGCTGGCCCTCCGACGTCTGCGGCGTTGCACCACCAAATCTTCTTTGGTCCGTCTCCTGCTGGCGTTGACTTCGGGTACGGACACCCTCCGTTTCCTCCTTAGGTAAAATCGGCATGATTTTATCCCACTTCTGACACCAATTGTTACGAGCTTGAGGTTCGTGACAATAAAAATTGCCGATAAAATTACCTAAATTAACACTTTAATTCTCTTTACACAAATTATAACTTAAAACACTAATAATTAATCACACTAATTCACTTTATTTCGCTCCGAAGCTTCGCTTGTCTCGCCGAATTCAATACTTCCTCGATCGCATCTTGCAGTGCCTATTTATATAAATTAGCACGGAAATATGCAGAATATTCAAGTAAACACGCGCAAGGTACCGAGAGTTCGAGTTTCAACTAGGCGCTAGTGCCGTGCGGCACAGGTGGGGTTGTTCTTTATTGGACGATTTTTATTACAATACTCTACTAATGTTTTGTTTCACAAATGTTTGCGCGTGTATTGGTCAACATTGGCAAAACATTTGTAGGGTTGGTTATGATCGGTAATTTGACTTTTTTCAAATATGATATTATTTGTTAGTTTAGAGCTTAAAATATAACATATTATACATGTAATTACCGATAGTAAGACACTACGGCTGTTAAATTACTTTTTCGGTCATTATTCTTGCAACTTTTAAATACACATTGCGGCATTGTGAACGTGTTTACATTGGCTGTGTTTCAAGTGAACTAAACGAAATAAGAGCTCACGTCTCATGTGCGCTCTTATTTACTGAGATGGATTTCTTGCGCCGACCCGACATCTAGTTGGTATTGTTGATCGAAGACACGCGTGCTCAAATTGTATACGCGTTGCTGCAGGTACGCACTAGCGTTCCTGTGTATGCGTAACTGACTATACGTACATTATAACGCTTAGTCCGTACAAGGCTTTATCTGATCATTTCTTCATGTGTCACGTTTACAAAATTTCTTATTCAAGATTCTAATTTTCGTTTTGTATTGTAATTTTGATTGTTTTGTATATTCACTGGTAGATTGCTGATGTTATAACGAGTCACTTAGCCAACTTATATTTAAAAAAGTAATTAGGGTTCCGCACGAAAATTAAGACCCATGAAATCCAATCCTAATAAATTATACGCGGGTGAAGTAGCAGGGAACAGCTAGTTACATGATATATTAAATCAGTTTCATTTCAAACTTAAATGATTGTTATAGAGAAAAACCGGCAAGAAGCAAATGGGAATATACATTTTTTTTAATTTATCAAAAGTCAGTGTTATATTTTAACCACCCGTGTTGTTTCCAGCATAATAGAATGCCTAGTCCTAAAATATTACATATCTTGTGTTTTATCTTATGAGGTGACATTCCCTCCACCATCCCATGGTCCTACCCGCCTTGCAGCATACGGACCGAATCTCTGGAGACGCACACGGTACTTGCTCTCGGCTCTTTCCCGCGTGTGCTTGCTTGACTCCCTACAAATTTCTCTGATCCGTCCCTTTTCTCTACATTTCACTTCTCCCCCTTCTGGGGCGTGACTCCACAGCGACGACACTTTGCGTTCAGCAGCTATCCGGTCGTGTTGTTTAGTCCTTATATTGTTTCCTCTTGTGATGCCATGCATGCGCAAATCTCCTTAATTCCTTGAAGTTGGATTCGCAGCACACTAGGTCCCGGAAATAAAGTGGTCCTATTGCTGTTCTTTGTATGCTGTCCAATAATGTGTTCCTTTCTTCGATATACAGATCGCAATCCCAGAGTGCATGGTCACGACTCTCCAGTGCAGAGCCACAGGGGCATAAACCGGAGTTCCTAAGGTTGAATTTCAGGAGACTCTCGTTGAAGCAGCCGTGACCAACCAGAATCTGCGATACTGCATAATCGGGCTCGACCCACCTGAAGATTAGACGCTCTGTGATATCCGGGAAAAACTTGTAAAGGTCCCTGCCATCTTGGCTTGAATCCAATCGGTCCTGCCAAATGGCAACGACAGCCGCCATCATCTCCCTCTTTTTCTTCCTGCGCTCCTTGTCGACCAGACCCGTCCCCTCCTCGTCGACTCGTCCCGCGCAAAGAACTTCCAGGTCGGCAGGCAATACGCCCGCTAACACTGGTAACGCTGCGTTGCTAGCCGTCCTGTAATCCTTCGTGAGAAGAATCAAAGCTGATCTTTGCGTCCTCATCAGTACGCTTCTGATAACGTAGAGGGACGAGCGTCGGTACCATACGGCAGCAGCATATTTCAAAGTTGCCACAGGTGACGGTAGGAATGCTATGTAGGTTAGGTCTCACGACCTCAAAACGACGGCGGTACAGCCATCTCGTGTATAATACTACCCTTGAAATACATAGCCCGTCGAAGCAACATGGATATCTTATACAGTTCGGTTGCCTATCCTCCTTCCAAATGTTGCTATTATTGCAATTCCTAAATACGTGGGAAGTTCAACAACAAACTATTATTTCTGTGATTCATATGAATAAGCGGTTTTTAATTTCCATTGATTTTATTAAACAGGTGCCGGCGTTGTGACGACGCGCGCTCACGTACACTACGTGGTAACTGAGCACGGAATAGCTTATCTATTCGGGAAAACTCTGAGACAGAGGGCATACGAACTCATCAAGATCGCCCATCCTGACCATCGCGAAGCACTCGAGAAAGCGGCCTTCGAACGTCTTAAATGTATGCCAGCACCTTAAAAACAATTTAAAAAAAAACAACCTGTCAAATAATAGACACAAAATAGATGCTCAGTGTTGCTAGCGTAGAAAATTACTACGGTTTAGTAGTTTAACAAGACGAGAGTAGTTTCAGAATATCAATGTTTAAATACGATGTAGCTGATATTTAATTAGTCTGTGGCATGTAGAAATGTAAGTTACTAAACTTCCTAATGATATAGAAACAAGCTAGAACTACATGTAGCCGACAATTATGTCTGAGATAGCTTACACTATACTGTAAGTTTTACAGTATATGGTTTTGACTTCAGTAATGAAATATGACTTCTCATGATTTTTGTACGTATCATATCAAAGTCGTGTTTATCTAAAATAATTCTTAATTAACAAGCCGTTGTAGTTCTAACTTTATTTACAAAATAGTTACTATACATTTAATATTGCAATAAATTACATTATGTAGAAATTTTAACTGCCTCGTTACCGATTTATAGATGTATTTTGATATTACTTCTCTAAGACAAATGTGGAAAATGCATTTTATCCGAAAATTATTGTACTAATATAAAATATTTATGCCTTAGAATGTAATAGGCCAATAGAAGGCCAATAGAATAACAAAATCAAAGCATTTATCTTTGAACAATGGATTATTGTAGTTTTTGGCGGGAAAGTTACACGTCATGTTATATTCATATTATATTCGTGTTTTGATTACTACTTTTTATATTGCATAATTTTACCAGAATTTTATTAAATTTCCTACATTAAGGGTGAAATCACATCTGTCAGCATCGATACATATACACTTGGTAGAGCTTATGCTAGAGCTATATTATAGTTGTAGCACGAATGGGTTATCTTGACATGTGTGGGCCCACGCTCTCACAGAATACCAACGTAAAACAGCAGCTTAATGCTGCTGTGTTTCTTATGGTGAGTGTAAAGAACCAGATACCATTTTTACTAGAAATCGGGTAATCCATCCATGTCCTCAGGGGTGATAACGAATCTGCATTATGATTTTTCATCCAGGATGAACGTATGTGCCCAAGGGCCACAACATCTACTTACCATCTGTTGGACTCTATACTCGTTTGCCACCATTTTTGTATAAAACAACTCGGGATGCTTATACTGCTGAGAATTTCAGTTAAAAGCACTACAAAGAGCTCGCACTCTAATCACTTATTGCAATTTTATTTCGCTAAAATTTCGTAAAATTTTCCATCTAAGGCTTTTTGTAAAGTTTTTCTGTATTTATTTTAGTATAATGTGCTAGACTGTCTTGGTCTTGACCCGAATTATAACTGAATTGGTCTTGAACCGAATTATAACTGAATTGGTTTTGACCCGTATTATAACTTAATTGGTTTTGACCCGAACTATAACTGAATTGGTTTTGATCCGAATTATAATTGAAAAAATCCAAATATTTGATGCTGACAAATGTTCCATTACAGAACTATAATATAAGAGTAATGGAATATTCTATATCACTATACTATATAACTTTTTTTTAAATATTTATGTAATTTTATATTTTAATGTTTACTTTTAAGTGATCATGTATTTTTGTCTCCAGTTTGTATTATAAAATGTGTTTATATTAAAACAGTTATGTTAAGACCACAATGTAATAAAGAAATATTTTGAAATATATGTGTTATTATTTTCAGAAAATAACAATAAATACCAAATCTTCAGTGATATTTCTTTTTAATTAAAAAAGTGATACACCGACACTTGGATTAGGTATCTCCAGAGGAGGATTAAATACATACTCTGTATTATTGGTACTGTTCAACAGATTAAGTGACGACCAGGTAAGACCAAATGGAAGTCGATGTATATTATTAGCTCAGGAACGTGTTTTGTGGTACTCTTGGTAGTTGTGGTAGATTTGTTGGAGCCACTCGCAAGTGTAAGTAAGGATCCAAGAGCAAGCCTCATCCGCCGCTATTCCGATGATATCCCGGACGTCAGTTTTAGCGACATTAGAATAGCTCTCCAGCAACTTAAAAACGGCAGGGCTAAAGCCCTGGATACACTAGGGGACATTTTGTCCCGCAACATGACGCGGAACACTCAATCTACGTGACGATGCAACGTTGCACAGTGACCCGCAACATGGCCCGCATCATTTTACGTGACGCGGGACTTAATGCATGTTTCCGCTCCGAGAGCGAGCGCACATGTCCCGCGTCAATTTTGCGCCATTTTGTTAATGCAATGGCACGTATGATATGAGGGCCAACAGCGTTCCGTAGTATTGTATCCTGTTTGGCTATGGAAGGTCTGATCATTTGTAGTAAAGTTTCATCCATTAGACATTTGGAGATCATTTAAAATATTTATTCTTCTTTTTTCTCGTTGTAGTAAGAAATTCCGCATCCACCCACCTTCTCTTTCGCTTACGTTTCACTCCCGAATTAAGTATTATGTATGCAGCACTAATTGCCACAAGCTCCTCGGGTGACATTTCTATACACCATGAAGGTTAGAGAACGGGAGAACGATTACATCGGGCGTGAATGTGGAGGGCGCTTAACCTTCATGCTATACACACTGACTAGTGTGGCCTGCAAAATGTTCCGCGACATATGTCTCAGCTCAGGACATTCCTCGTAATTGTTGAGCGACATGTTGCACAACATGCCGCTCCTTTTGTCCCCAAGTATATCCAAGCCTTAAAGCCACGTATTCATTGATAAACAATTGTTTATAAACACTGTTTCAGAAACAAAATCTACGTGTTTCTAAAACAAATCATTATGCTTCAGAAACATATCATTTTGTTTCGGTAAACTTAACGTGTTTATTGGCATGTTTCATTGCTCCCCGCTGTAAGTGGGGAGCACAGAAACAAATCAGTTGCGCAACAGGTGCATATAAGGGTTTAAACATTTGTTTATAAACATGGCTGTAGTGTGGAACGATGAAACTGTTTTTTAAATTAATAAAACTGTTTGACAAAAAAAGAATATTATAGGATTGCTCGACAAAGAATTACAAAAATAAAATCACTTAATATGTCTTGTCTTAGCAGGTAATTCCTGACCCACACTCTTTTTTAACTTCCCGCTAAGAAAATTGAAATTTTTCATAAATAGGGAAGTTATTGCTTACATAACTACAAAAATCTGGCGCATAAAATAACCGCCTTTCATAGGGTTATAATTCAGCAATATGCGAAGCTGATATTGATATTTTAACTAATATGAATTTTTTTCGTTTTATATAATCGGATTTGTTGCTTAAGTCGCGCAGTCGCATATTCAAATAAATATGTCCAAGTCGAAATCTGCGCGATCGCTTTGGAACGGCGTAATATTGACGCACACTACATTGTTATCTCTGTGTGCGTGTCAGGGCGAGCGCGAGGCTAGTCGCCTTTAAGCTGGCTTTCCACTATGGGATATAATATATATTATATACCGGAATATAAATTATATCCCATGATTGCCCTTCACACTGTGAGATATATCTTTTAACCAGTGTGCGTTCGTCATTGGACGATTCAAGGACGTAGCAGAGGCTATTAAACATTCAAAAACCTTTATCCGGGCTTTTGATCGCAAATTCGCTTCAGAAGCCCTGGGATTAAGTAAAAATAAATTGCGCACTCTGACAAGAGCCCTAACTGGATACTGTTGTCTTAAAAACCACATGTCACATCCTGGGACTAGGCAACTCAAGGATGTGCTGGTGCTGTTCCATAAAAGAAGAAACGCATCAGTACATCCTAAATGATTGTGGACCTAACACTCATTGGGAAACTATGTACCTACTTCGCCCAGAAGAAATGAAATTGCTCACGGCTAAGTAACTCCTTCTATTCATTGAAGACATAGGGCTTAGCAGTGAACTATAGCCATAGCAGCGATCACAATAGACTAGAGATGGGCTTAAACGTTAAAAAATAATAACACTGCTAAATGCTAAAAATAATTAACAGTTAAAATTAGCAGTTATTTTTAGCAACTGTTAAATTTAGTCACAGACAGATTTTTAACACATTATTAATTCTCATTTCCTTCATACTTTTCACAAGCTTAGGACTGTCAACTTTTTCTGTTGGCGTATTTATAATGAGAATCAATTTATTTACAACGATTTCTTTTTTTCATATCTGTTTTTTTAGTAATCGTAATTTTTATATAATAATCCTTTTTTTCTTTTTTTTCTTGATTTTTTTATCTTTTGTTTTTTTTCTTCTTATATCTACTTATCACTTAGTAACATAACATATCTTAAAATTTTATATATTTTTTATTTCCATTTAAAAATGATATTTGTTTGACTTTTCGGACTCCAAGGCGAGTTCTTCGTTGTGAAATTATGTAAACAGTTCGCGAAAAAAGTCTTTCGCAAGAAACAGAAGTACAAAGTACGTTACATTTGTTTCGAACCAACTTAGCCAAATGTGGACAAAGCCTTGGTTCTGTTTCCACCAGCTCAACGGTAAATTATTGCGACTAATCACTTTTTCATTCAAATATTTGTCTATTTCTATTATCGGTCGTGCAGTTGGTGATTCAATTGATTGCGGTACAGCCTCTCTAGCATCCCAATCGTAAAATATTGAGGTGGGATCAAGCGAACTTTTGTTAACTTCAATATTTTCACATGGTCCTTCTCGATTTATTTCTTGAGCGACAAGTTTGATCATTTTCTCCCTCAAAGTTGCTTGCTTTGAAGATGTAGAGGGCTGTAACTTAAAGCGTGGATCCAAAAAAAGTAGCTACCCCAATCGTGTTACTATTTTCTATATTTTCGAAACGACTATGAGTTAAATCTAACAAAGCTCGAACAAAATCATATGTTATTGGCAGATAGTGATAACCGGAAGAATCCGAGCTTAAAATATCACTGAGAACTCTCTTTATGCCTTTTATGATTATTAATAGTTGACTGGCCGTCAAATACTTTTCACCTTCACAAAAAATTTCAGGGCTTTACAAATTTCGTTGCAAAGTAACCAGTCTTCCGGCATTAAATTTGGTGAGCTTGTAACA